CCACACTACACAATGTGTTACATAGGTATTAAACTTTTGTTGCTACATTTTGACTTATTTACCTATACAGCTTTTCTCTTCTTTGGAGAGGACTGGGTATTTGTTATCTGAAATGATACCAGACTGTGGGTCTGAGAAAAAAATATTACAAGGTTTGGACTTGCCATTTTTGGCTGTGCCATAAATGGCAATCATGATACCACATGAACTAAAGCAAAAGATGAAATGAAATATAAATTGAATCCAATAACCCAGGTGATTAATTGCTTTAATTATGGGCCAAATCCTATCAGCTCTAGCAATATTAGCAGAATTTTATTTTGCTAGCAATTCTACTGAAATCACTGAGCCCTTCATAGATTAAGATGCTATTTAATATTAGTGTGGCCTTATAGTTAGGATGACCATATGTCCCAGTTTAGCCAGGACATAACCAGGACATAGCCAGATTTCAGAAGCCGGTCCCCACTGGCTGCTCAGAATGATAATGGGCATTCTGGAAAAAGCAGGGGCAGTCTGGCTGGGAGTCAGGGTGGCATGGAGCACCTTGCAGGTAGGTAGACAAGCTTCAGTGCCTGCCTGGCATGCTGCCCCGTGCCCACTGACTTGTGAGTGCATGAGGGGTGCAGCATCCCGGATTTCCTGAATGAATGTCCTGGATGTCTGGGATTTACTTGTGGTCAGCCTAGTTATAGTCATGGTGTTATACATATGGCATGGACATACAGGCATCCTGCATCTTACGCAGGGATTACATTCTAAAGGCAGCACATAAAGGCGAAAATCACGTACAGTGAAATCGCATATTATTGTGCCAGTGGTGACTGCCTCTGCCTCCAAAACCTCCCACCGCCGTCGCGGAGCCACACTTAGAGCTGTGTGGCCAGCGGCAGCGGTGCAGCGCATGGTGGTGGTGGGGATGGCTGTGTGCCGCCCAGTCACCACCAAACCCAGCGGCCAGCCACACAGCTCCAGGCACGGCTCTATGGCGGGGGGGGGAGGTTTTGGAGGCAGAGGCAGTCACAGCTGGCAGCGTGGTGGTGACCGGGCCTCCAGGCAAGCGCCAGTGCCACGTGCAGACTCAAGCCCTGCCCCCCCCTCCCCATCCGCATATAGTTGAATTCGTGCAAATTAAATGCGCGTAAGATGCGGGATGCCTACGTTCTATAGCTATCCACAATTCCAGAGTAATATGCTTGTGACATAGAGGCAGATTTGCAGGAAAGGTTACAGGCCCAATACCCAGGGTCAGAGAAAGCTTTGTTTGCATTGGCCTAATGCCATATGATCTTCTACTCCTCATTTATATATCCTCAAAAATGAATGGGCAGTGATTACCCACTTTTACCAGGGCAAGTGAAATTCCATAATTTTCCTCAATTACAGTCGAATATTATAATTCTACCTAATTTTATTTTTAAGGGGAATGGTATGCTGAGAGAAGTTTCAAGCAATCTGACTGATGAAACACAGGGCATTAACTTTTTGAAGCAATGTTCATACCAATTGAAACCAACTGAAACAGCATCATCCAGAAAAATAATACTCATAAGCTTACTCTGTATGTTCATTTTCTTTCACTGCTTAACATAGTATTATCATAAAGAGTGCATGGAACTTCTTGAGACTTAGCCTCTACTAGCAAGCCAGATAAATCTCCAAGAAATGCCCTGCTTCAAGATTATTATAATTACAAATAGCAGAATTTTTGTTACTATTTCCTCTTGCCTGCTAAATACCTGTGTATTTAGTGCGACTGAGTGGCACTAAGCTAACGATGGCTGTTATGGCAAGTTGCTCCCTGCAATGCTGGGGTTGTTTTGTCCTCGGGGGTTATTTAGTATTGACCCTCTATAACTATTCTGCTGCTCCAGGATTACTTGAATGCCCTGCACTGGACTGTGGCAATGCTGCAGGGGAATCCTGAGATGCCTACCCCAGACAGCCTTCCTAGTAGCTTAACACTGACTGAGCAATACAAAATAGCAAAGGTAGTGACGGACCTGGTTACTATGGGCTCTGACAGAAGTGACATTTGTTGTGTGATTGGCCTCCTGAAAGTACTCACCAGCCGTGCATGTGACATACAAACACAGTTGCAGAGCACTTTGAAAGTGGCTGATCGCATGGCAAATTAATCCATACCTAAGGAGGGACCAGACGAAGGTGCTGCAATATGGAGTGCTTTAGGGAACTTCTGTTCTCAAAGGTCAGTTTGTCAACATGACGCAGCCCAGCCTGCCCTGCCCCCGGTTGTGTCTGCAGAAAGGGAAGGGAAGGGGGCTCTGGGCTGGTTTTGCCTAACCTGAGCTGGAAGGGGGACAGGTGGATTGGAGCCTCCCCAGCTCTCTCCTCCTCTAGCTCAAATCAGGCAACCCCCAGCCCGCAGCTCCCTCCTCCCCCCTCCTTTTCTGAAGACAGCACTGGAGCTGGGAGAGGGGGAGCTGGGGCTAGGGGAGACAGGCTGCAGGCAGAATCCTCCACAGGATTAGCTCTAAAGTGGAGCTCAATACCCTCCCAACAGATGAATGTGTGTTGGGTTGGGGGGTAAGGGGGCGTTGTTCCTCCATCTCATGGCGCTTTATGTGAAGCCACCATGAGTTAGAACAGGGACCTGCTTGTGTGTCAGTGCCCTATGGCAGTCTTTTTTAAGTCAATGGGGATGTGCAGTTGATTTCTACTGCATGAGGACTGGATCCCTCTATAACAAACAGAAGATTTGTTTAAAAGCACTGAAAGAGAACTTTTTATTCTTTTGAGACTTTGTTCTTCAAATCTAGTTGCTCAAAGTGTGGTTGTGCAGATAGTGTGGGAGTGAGGGCCAGTTTGATTGACTGATTGTTTAGGTTTGATAGATTGCATTAGACAGAAAACACCCTGATGTGCAAAAAAAGAAAGCAACAAGGACAAAGAATTAAAAATAGCATCAATTTTATCAAACTGCTATATTTTTTCTCAGACAGAAACCATCTTAAAACTCCTTCATAACTGACTGTTCATTAGTCTATCAATGTGTATAATGGCTCACAGAATCATAATAAGAATTAATAATAGTTGAAAGAGCAAAAATGGACATTAATTTCTCCTACATAAATATTAATGTTCCAGTAGAGTCTCTCCCTGACAAGCTTCCAAACTCTAATTCAGAAGTGCACTGCCACTGCCTGTTATTTTCACTATGATGAACTGGCAAAAATCTGCCCATGGAGTCAACAGAATATTTCATGTTGCCCCAACATGAAATCTCATGGTTGAGACCATAAGAAAGGCAAGATAATGGCCTTTTAATCCCAGAAAACTAGAGCTGGAAGTAATTTCAGGTCATCTAGTCCAACACCTGCTCAAGGTAGGATCATCACTGACTAAACCATCCCAATCAAGTGTTTGTCTAACATTCGATAATATCCTTCAGATATTGGTCTTTGTCTTGATAATGTTCTTCACAAGGTGGTATTGTTTTGTTGTGGTGTAGCTATGTAAATCATAACACAAATGATTTACATGATAAGAAGGAAGAAAGACTAGATATTACGCCCAAACTTCTATGTTATGGAAAATGGTACATCAGCAAAACAAAGAGGTAAATGCAGAGAATATATATTAAACACTTGACTGCTGAGTACTATGCATAAGATGCAAAGCAAACTGCATTAGAGAGTGGCCCCTGTATCTACTATATCCTCCTGAAGCACCAGTATTTTGGTCACCACCTGAAATCCACACTTGGAAAGTCAGTGCTTCAAAGGAACATCACATTCCAATGAAGTACAGAAACTGAAGCTGAAAACAGTAAGGCAATGGTTATGCTTTTTTTTTTTCCTTTTTTGAACATTACAGAGACTGAGAGTTCTGGAATGAACCCCAAAAGACCATCTTCTGTGCTATAAAAGAAGATGGGAAGTTTCTGAAAGTGAATAAAATGCATTTTGTTTGCATTGTATATTTAAATACTGTATATCCCTAAATAGCTGAGAGGGGAAAAGAAGAATCTTGAGAGATTTATTCAACTTTATTATATCTGATGCTGGTCATGAAGAGCTTTAGTTGAACCTAAAGACTCCTATGAACATAAAATCAAATTAAACAGCACATTAAGGTTCCATATTCTCTGACTGATGCGCGCGCGCACAACTCTCATTAACGGTAATGGCAGTTATGCGCGCGCATCATTCGGAGAACAGATCTCTAAGTGCTTTATTGTTTTTCCTGGAGATAATTTTTCTGTTGGACTTTAATTAAGCTCCTGCTAGGCTTGCAAGCTTTCCCACCTTCTTTCCTTTTTTAGGGGAAAAACTCCAAATCCAAGTGTTTACAAAACAAGTTTTTCCTAATTTGTCACAATTTTACAAAGTGCACCCCAAGATGTTAAAATCTAGAGATTGCATGCAACCTCCAGGTACATGTAGCAGAAGTTGCCTTGCATTTTCCAAATACTCTTCCAGACTACATTGCATTTTTTAAAAAACAGTATTAAAAGTTGGTGTGAAAAAGAAAAATATCATGAATACCATCATGTTGTATTTATGCTCATTTAGGACATAATCTGTAATGTTATGAAATATAGCATGTGCTATTCATTCTAGACAACATATATAATGCTGTTTTTTTTCCCTTCAAAATACAAGTAACTGCTTTTATAGTTCCCAAATATTAGACTTGTGTAAGGTACTGTGTTTGGGTGGGGGGTCTACAAATTATCGCCTAGCTTGTCTCTAATGAAAAGAGAATAAATATGAACAGTTTATTCTTTGCCTAAACCTTTTTTAGAAAACATTTAATGTAAGCTACATATTCAGAAATGTTAGACTAACAATTGAGGATTTTTTTTAGTTAAATAAGATGCTATAGGAGGAAAAAAAACAATAAAAACAATAATGAGACATGATCAGGTATCATGGAAAGTAAATTACATTTGAGATGCATCTGTTCTTTCATTTTTTCATTTAGTATTATTTTTAACAGTCTATTTCACTAGCCTCTACTGTATGTGATGTACTTAC